AATAGCGTGTCCCGATCAGCCACCATCGACACTATTCCTGCCTGTTTCAAGGCAAAATATCGTCCCCGTTAAAGTCGGGAACGACCCAAAAGGAAACGACAGCGAGCGAGTCCCGGTCCCTCCGTCTGCCAGCGGCTCCTGTTCGCCGAGCCGGTATCAGCCTCGGCTTTGCCACGCAAGGTCGGCTGCAGAAACCAATCAAAACGAGAAAAAGTACCTAAACTACATCCGTCCCGAAAAGATTTAGGAAAGGGAAACCCGGGAGTGAAGCAAACCAGATGGTTGGATCCCAGACACGTATATACACACACACACGCTCCCGGCCGTGCATCCACACACGGAGCGAGGGGTGAGTTTTAATCACGGGTTTGCCCGCCGGGGTAAGAAACGATGCGTCTCCCGAAAGAGAAACCCTATGGATCTACCCGAAAAGATTGCCTTGTCATCGTCCCACTGTTCCCAGGCGTGCAGGGCTGGGAGGGAAGCATTTTTCCTTGGGCAGATTTTTAATTTTTCTGCTCTCCTCTCTGAAGTATTTCACTACAGCCTCCCTTCCCATCTCCCGTTTTAACCCGACTCTGCTTTACATTTCACGCCAAATTGCGGTATCAAACGTTCGTGGGGCTGAGAGCTGGCGGCGTGGGAGGGTCTCCTAAAGGTCTCAACAGTGCGGAAAAAAAAAAGAAAAGAAAAACAGAAGTGGGCATCAGCCGATCAGGATTTTTTTTTTCCCTCCTTTAAATTGACTTTCACTGTCTGTCCTGCCTGTCTTTATGAGGCGTGGGGTCGGCGTTTTGATGCCCTGCAGACCTCTTCAGCAGGTGGATCCCTCCGGCCGAGGTTTCCCCCCCCTGAGGCTCCCCGTGCCCGGCAGCTCCGCGGGAGTGGGTCGGAGCCCCTGCAAGCTGCAAAACGGCAACAACGACCAGGCACAATTTTTTTTTTCCCACTGGGAAAAGCTCGTTCCCTGCCTGTCCGCCGAGACCGTTATTTGCCGGGGGGAGGCGTAGGGGAGGGCAGGGAGAACAACCCCGGAGCACCGCGGGGTGCGATCGCTGCTCCCGCCCCGGCACTGGCCATGCCCCCGCCTAAGGGTCCTGGCCGGAGCATCCGCCGGCGCTGGGGTTTCCCGGGGGGCAAAGCCCTGATCCTGCACGGCTGTGCCCGGGGAAGGGCAGCATCGGGCCCTGCAGTGTTTCCGTGCTCTGCCTTGGGCAGTGCGGTGGGTTTAGCTCCAGCCCAGCCGACGTTGCTCCCAGATCCTTCCAGATGATCTGTTGGTTTTGCAATACATAATCGTTCTTGTTTCCTCTGTCGAGCAGCATCTAAATTCGTTTATTCTGATGAGAACCGCATCTACAAGTCCCCCAAGGATCAGTGATGGATTTTTCTGTATTACCTCGTTATCAAGCTTGGCTGACCTCTAACTTCTCTGAAAACATGAGCAAGACAGACCTGCTGCTGCCTGGGCTGCCCCAGGGGGCTCTTTTTCCACTTATGTGATTTCCTTTGATATTATTTCTCTTCTTTCCATATCCAAGGCTCAGACCTTCAGTGCTCCCTGCAGTTCAACCTTTTTTCCAGCCCTGTACAGCCAGCTCCCAGTTTGCAAAGATCAGTTTGCAGCCTGCACACCAAGAGCTCCCAGCGCAGGGAGGTAAGTGGGAATGGTGGTGCTGGATAGTGCGAGATGCGTGAAATTCCTGGTTTGGAAACCACTGGAGCCAAGTGCCTATATCTATCCCTGCAGCGCCCAGATGTTGGACATCTAGGTTTTGTTCACTTGCATTTTCAAATGCAGATGTCCCAAAATCCACACCAAAAAAGGCCTGGATTTCAAGGGAGGCTTTTCCCAGGCACTCCATGTGCAGGGCTGAACCCCCGTGAACTTCTGGAGAGCAAGTCTCCCTGTCTTTCCTATTCTTCAGACGAGTGGGAAGCTCCTCTCCCCCCATACATACACATTTATTTAGGTGCTGTGATCTGACTTTAGGACCTTGGTTGTGGACTTGCCATTCAAAAACTTTTTCTGCTGCTCTCTATTCATAGCTGATCCCATCCCACATGGATTTGAAGCCCACCAGGCAAGCTCATACGCAGCTTAACACTCAACTGATTAACTCCGGCTTGGTATAAGTTTTTTTTTTCATACTGTTCTTCAGCAATCTGACATGAGACAAGATGGATACACACACGCACACACACACTTATGTGACTCAGAGGAACGCAGTGATTTTAATTCATAAACCACCAGGTGCACTTTTGAGACTCACCAAAGCCACCTCTCCTGGTTGCCATAAAAAACACATTAGCCAAAGGCCAATGCATGTGGAAGGCAATTATGCGCTGGCACATGGCAACGTGTATAGAACAGCCTGGTAACTGTGCCTACCACATGAGGAAAAATATCCCTGTGAAAACAAGCCTACTAAGTCGCTTCATTCTTCCCTGCATTCCCTGAAAATAAAGGATTTTTTTTTTTTTGGGGGGGGGGAAATGTGTGGGAGGGAATCAGATTTTCCAAAAGTGGGTGCACCAGTGCAAGAACCTAAATAAATGGCCAGATTCACAAGGATGTAGAAACTCATGGTGAGGTTTCCAAGTCCAGGTTTTCCATGTTAGCATCTGAGCATGCCAAATGTGCCCAGGAAATCCCTGCTGCTGAGTTCTCTGCAGTCAGCGGTTTAGCAGCCCGAGTGCCCATGTCACCCACTGAGTTCACAAAAGTCCACTTCTGCCAGAAACGCCAGCTGAGGACCCTCAGCTTGGGGGCCAGGCGCAATACAGAGAGAGGGCCTTCAAAGTTACAGAGAAGGTGGAAAATTACTGGAATATAGCTTGATCGGGACAAAAAGTGTTTTACTCCTTTTTATTTTTTTCTGCATGTAGTAAATGGCTGGGGATAGGAATCTTTACACCTGGAAGTATCCAGCAATCTCCAGCTGGGGATCAGGTTGGGGTGAATCTGCTGTATCCTTGTAAAAAATCAGCCCTGCACATACATGCTGATATCTACAGATACCTGCCTTGCGAACAGGTTCGTAGATATATTTTGCCTCTTGACCTCAAATAAGACTATGCTTCAGTCACCTGGAGGCTGTGATGTTGCGACTGCACAGAAGTATAGCGCAGGGCTCCTTTTCTCCATTCCCATCTTGGGAAGGAGCTGAATAAACAGAGGCGAAAACGTTTTCAACCTAAAGTATGGGGAGGAAGACGAAGTATCTCACCCATGCAGAGAAGCAGAGGCAGAGCCAAACCCCTTAACCCCATCCCCTTATCTTGTGAAGGACAGCCAGGTAGAAAAAATATCAAACCAGGCATCACTGTAATAGTCTGGGGCTGAATCTGCACAGAAGGGTGAATCTCAGCTCCGTTACCCCACCAGCGTACGGCTGTGGATGCCGATTCCTCCACTGCATCTCCACCAGGTCACAGCTTCGCCCCACAGCCTGGCTTCAGCACTTCCACACCCCAGCAGGTCCTTCCTTCAGGTCCAGGACCCAAAGCTAATCCCTGCTTTGCACACTGGGACACACAGCCCTGGCACATCCCAGGCTGATTTTGTGGCAGCATCAGTATGGCTGCAAGGGACAGTTCTCCATCTCTATAAAACAGGTGCTCTGCAGGGACACACAAGAAACCCATCGCCAGCATCTCCAGACCGGTGTGAACTTCTCCTTCCCCTTTCTTCAAACCACCAGAAGAAATTGCTGCCCCAAGCTGCACAGAGACAAGAGAGGGAAAGACTGTCAACACACAGATTAAAATTAATCCAGCCACTCTGGGGGTGTTGAAGCTTCACTTACACACACACATGCCCCCTTCTTTCACTTCCTGCAGGTGAGCCTCTGCTTATTCTTGCTAGGAAGAGGAAGAAACGACACTGAGGGCTGCTGAAAGAAAGGCTGATGTTTCACACCTGGTTTTACGTTACTTGGAAAGACCTGATTTCTGCAGGAAGGCTACTCAGCATCACCCAGCTAACCGGATCCCACCAACGCTCATTTTGAAATGCCTTTTTTAATTACCTTTTTCCAGGCTTTTGCATAGTCTAGAAACTGAGTGTTAAAATTGTGTTATAAGAAGGCATGAGGCTTTGGGATAAGTTATCTGCTCCCTGAGAATATACCACTGGGGTCCCGCGCGGGGAAGCAGGCTGGTGGGGCTTCCCTCCCAGCGCAGAGATAAGCGTGCCATCTAGAGGAAATCCCCTTTACTGCCAGGACTGGCAGCTGAAAATTATCCAATAAAGCATAATTAACCTCTGGCTTCAGAGAAAATCCTCCATCCGTGCCCTGCTGCTCCAGGCTGCTGCACAGGCATGTTGCAGTGGGCTGGCGATGCGCCGAGGCATCTGAGTGGCTCGGGAAGGTCGCGAGTGCTTGAGGGCCATCCCAGCTCACGCTGGCATGCGTTGGCCTGTCCCTTCCCCATAGGCAATGTCAGCTGTCCAGACCCCTGGCATGGGAATTTGG